AAATACAAGGAATTAAGTGCTTTAATAACACCTACCGCTCTTCAACCCGCTGCTGACAGGCCTTCTACTGAGTGGCAGTGATTAAAAATGGGAAACTACGCCTCTAACAGTCTTACACAAACAGGAGCAGGACGTCCGTGTTGCCCACACATCCCTGCTCCCCCAAACCCATCGGGAAGAGACAGGCACCGTGGTAAGAGCCCTCGGCCAGTCCCAGGTGGAAAATATGACAATATATATATAAATAAACATAAACCAAAAGGCTGAAACTCAGCTTCTCCGAGGCACGGCACAACTGCTGAGAGCTACCGTGTCCCCCCAGCCCAGGGGGGCTCTGCAGCTCCCCAGTGCCCCACCAGTAGCTGGGGGGGACTCAGGGCTCTCCCCATGGCACTGTGGGCTCAGGGCCTGACTCTGGGGCAAGTGAGCGTTACTTAGGGGCGACGGCGTCCCAGCCTGCGTGCTCGTTTGCAGGGAGGTGCTGGGCACTGCCAACGGGCTCTGCCCCCCAAGAAGAAACCTCGTCAGCGTCCTGGCTCCTGCCCTGCACTGGGACATCCCTCAGCACCACTGTCCAGCCAGCAGCAAAGCCCTGGGCTTGGGCTGGGGCCAGCATGGCCGTGCCGAGGCCTGGCACGGTGCAGCCCTGGGGCCTGGGATCTGGCACGGCACAGGGTGTGCGGCCTCCAGCTTGGCACCAGCCAAACCAGCGCAGGGCACAGCGGGCTGGGGGGTCCCTCCCCGAGCAGCGCAGGGGGGCACTAAGAGCCCCCCAGCACCCAGCACCCCCCTCTCTGCACCCTCAGTCCCGAGCGCATCCGCTGGAGCCCACAGCATGGGGTGCACCCTGAGGGTGTGGGGTGATTCCCCACAGCATGGGGTACAACCTGAGGGTGAGGGGCACAGGGTGATTCCCCGCAGTGTGGGGTGCACCCTGTGAATGTGGGGTGCGGGGTGATTCCCTGCAGCATGGAGTGTACCCTGAGAGTGTGGGGCGCGGGGCAATTCCCCATAGTGTGGGGTGCACCCTGAGAATGCGGGGTGCGGGGTGACTCCCCGCAGCGTGGGGTGCACCCTGAGCGTCCGGAGTGACTCCCCGCAGCGTGGGGCACCGATCCCGCCGTGGGGAGGGCGCAGTACTGCGCACCCCCCCCCGGCCGCGCCCCGCGCAACACCGCCCACCCTCTCCGCGCACCTCGCGGGGCGCTGCGCCAGCCGCGCAGAGCCGCACTAAGACCCTGCGCGCACCGCCGCGCACCGCCCCCTTCTCCGCCGCCCGCCCCCTGCGCGGAGCGCTGCGCGGGGC